TGCCCCCTCCCCACCCGCCCCCCGCAGGCCTTCCATTCCCGGGACGAAGCGCAGACCCAGTACTCGCAGTGCTTGATCGAGAAGGACAAGTACAGGAAGCAAATCCGAGAGCTGGAGGAGAGGAATGACGAGATGAGAATCGAGATGGTCCGGCGGGAGGCCTGCATCGTCAACCTGGAGAGCAAGCTTCGGCGCCTGTCCAAGGACAGCGGCAGCCTCGACCAGGTGGGGCTGCACCGGGCTGGGCGTGTCCCCCGCACCCGACACCGGGGCCTCCCACGCCGCCGGTGGCCCAGCAGGGTCACCGCCCCCGTGCAGCGGCCCTTCCCTGCCGCACCCAGGATACCCCACGGCCTTAACCCTTCTGCACGTGCACACCACAGAGTACAAATTACGAATTTTGAACTTGGAAAGTGCAGGCTAAAACCCCGTCCGGGCTACTTGCTCCCCGAGTTTAGACAAGTCACTTCACCCAGTAGCGTCAGCTCCTCCTCGTTTGATCATAGTGACCATTAGGCTCCCGGCAGAGCCACTGACATGTGGACAGTCACTGGGTTTCAGATGCCCTGTGCCCCCCCGGAGTCCCTAGGGCCTGTGAGGACGCTGTCCTTTCCGGATGGCACAAAGCTCCCAGCACCAGTCCCCGCAGGGTCCCGGGAATGAATGAGCACTGCCATCAGAGCAGAGGACCTCGTCCTTGTCGTAGCAGCGGGGGTCACGCGCGGTCACACACAGGTGCTGTGCTAAGTGCCATCTGCCTGCGAGCCCCCGTAGCCCACAGACCTGTCCTGCCAGGAAGGTGTGATCACTGTCCTCATTGACCGAGGAAGGAACCCAGACCCCAGCAGCTGAGGGCACCACCGGTCGGTGGCCCCGGGGAAACGGGGGTGAGACCCTCCGAGGACTCAAGTCTAGCACCGGAGGCAGATCCGGGAACATGACACTTCAACACAAATTGTAAATCACGTGTTGGGTTTGGGCCGTGGGGTCCCCGGGGGAGGAGGCCTCCGCTCCACCAGGGTTTCGGGCAAGACCCCCTTCGGACAAGCTGGGGGTGGCCTCGGGCCCCCCTGCTCGCAGCGCTGCCCCGGCTCCCCCTGCCCAAGGTCTGCCCCTTGTGGTCTGGGCCCAGGCGTGGCTCTCTCAGTCGGGCCTCCGCCGGCCCCCGTGATGGAGACAGGAGCCTCTGTTACCCTGTCGACCCTCTGGGCAGTTGTAGTTTTTCTCCGTGAAGCCCATAACCCGGTGCCCGACATCAGGCAGGGCCCGGGAGCGTCTGCTCAGCGGACAGGCGAAAGCTGTGGGGGCGCCCGGCTGGGTGAGGAAGGACGGGGCCTCGTTCCAGGCCCCGGACAGCCTGAGCGAGGCCCGCGGTGCCACACGCAGCATGCTAGCGGCGGGTCGTGATGGGAGGGGGAGGCGGGGACCGGCAGCAGGAGCTAGCCGAGTCATGCGCTCAGGCCCAGTTATTCGGGGACCTGGATGGATTTTGTGCGAAGAAGAAGGCAAAGAGCTGTGGGTCTGGAGGCGGCAGCACGAAGGTGGTGCGGATCTGGGGGGCACCTAGGAGAGAGTCGCTGCCCCCGCAGCTCAGCCCGAGGCACGAGGACGGGGCCTGCGCTGCTCCTGGGCTCGTTCCGTCGGTCGGCGGGTTCTGTGTTTGCAGCTCAGGCCCGCGGCTGCACCTGGACGTATGGAGGCCACACAGGCCCCAGGGGCAGAGACCCACTGGGGGACATCCCCATGGGGAGACGGGGACAGGAGGCTGGTGAGGAGGAGCGGGTGGGGCTAGAACCCCGAGCCTGGGCACCGAGGGGTCGTGGGGGCCAGGGAGAAGAGCGGGCCGTCCTGAGTTTGAAGCTGGG